TTATTTTTCATCTTTACATGGAAGCTAAGCCAGGGCATATGGGATCTAGGAGCACTAGTTTTTCTCCCAAACCCAGGTGGCTAGGTTTGGGTTCAGCTCCTAGAGCTCTGACCTTGGCTAAAAAGCCTCAGGCAAATGGCATTTTTGTGAATTCGTACCCCAACAAGTTGGGCTCCAAATGAAGCACGATTAATAAAAATTTCAAAGAAGGAAACTTTTGGTCATTTCTGTGAGGAACTTTCTAGATTAAGTTAATTGAGATTGGAAGGCAAACCTTAAATATGGACAGCACCAACCCAAGTCCTTGGGTCCAGGACCGACTAAGAGAAAAGGGGTTGAAAAGCAGCATCCATCACCCTTTTATGGCTTGGATACAATGTAGCAGCCCTCACTCTCCTGCCCTCCTCATTTCCTTGCTATTATGGACTGTGTTCTCAAGGTATGAGCCAAAACAAGGCCTTCCTTCCATCCTTAGGTTGGTCCTTTTCTGGTATGTTGTAGAAGCAACAAGGCAGGTAACTAATAAAGAACTAAATTTGAAATCAAGTTTAGGATTCTGTTTTCTGAGTGAGATATGAGACTATAATTTTAAAATCTTCACATTAAAGACTTTATGAGCTTTAATCTGTTTCCTTATTTCTGTATTTGGCTTCAGGTTTATTTTTACTTAGAAACGCTTTCATTTATATTTGTTGTTATCACCGATTAGCTTGGATTTGGTTTAATGATAATCATAGTTTCCCATTTATTTTGTTCTCATTGATTTTTGTTCTTTAGTAAATTAACTTTTTCACATTCTTTCTCCTATCCTGCTCCCTTAGAAATGGCATTTGGGCTTTTTTTTTTATGTTGTTTCCATCTAATTATAATTCCTTTTTAAAATCACCAGAAGCTGAGCTTGGCCGGGTGATGCACACCTCTACTCCCAGCACTCAGGAGACCCAAGGAAGAATATCAAGAGTTCAAAACCAGTTCAGGCTGTTTGTGAGATCTTGCCTCCAGAAACAGAAAAAGTCTCAACCTAAGTAGTCACAATTTTAAGACTTTAATATTGGAATCCAAGCAAAGAAAGAAATAGAGAAGAGGCCAAAGAGATACAACTAAAAGGACACATCCTTATGACCTACTTCCTCCAACTAGGCCCCACCCCCTCTAACTTTTACCACCTTCCAGTAATGTTGTCATGTTCTTATGCATCAGTCCATTGGATCAGAACACTCAAGATGTATTCAACATTGTCTCTAGAAGTACTCACCTACACATTTCAAGGAGGTCTTTTTTTTTTTAATTGATATTTATTGGGCTCTACAATTTTCTCTGCTCCCCTCCCCCGTTCAATCCTTCCCAAGGTCCCCATGACAAGGAGATCTTGTCTTTTTCTACTTTCTACTTCCCATGTAGATTAGATCTATGTAAGTCTTAGTATCTGCATTGTTGTCTAGGTTCTCTGGAATTGTGGTTTGTAGACTGGCTTTCTTTGCTTTATGTTTAAAAACCATCTATGAATGAGTACATGTGATAATTGTCTTTCTGTGTCTAGGTTACCTCACTCCAAATAATGTTTTCTAGCTCCATCCATTTTCCTACAAAATTCAAGCTGTCCTTATTTTTTTCTGCTGTGTAGTACTCCATTGTGTAAATGTATCACATTTTCCTTATCCATTCTTCGATCGAGGGGCATTTAGGTTGTTTCCAGGTTCTGGCTATGACAAACAAAGCTGCTGTGAACATAGTTGAGCACATGTCCTTGTGGCACGATTGAGCATCCTTTGGATACGTACTCAAAAGTGGTATTACTGGGTCTTGAGGAAGGTTGTTTCCTAACTTTCTGAGAAATCGCCACACTGACATCCAAAGGGATTGTACCAGTTTGCATTCCCACCAGCAATGCAGAAGCATTCCCTTTTCCCTACAACCTCTCCAGCATAAGTTGTCATCAGTGTTTTTGATCTTGGCCATTCTTACAGGTGTAAGATGGAATCTGAGTTGTTTTGATTTGCATTTCTCTGATGACTAAGGATGTTGAACATTTCCTTAAGTGTCTTTCAGCCATTTTAGATTCCTCTGTTGAGAGCTCTGTTTAGGTCTGTACTCCATTTTTTTATTGGATTATGTGATCTTTTGGTGTCCAGTTTCTTAAGTTCTTTGTGTCTTTGGGAGATCAGAACTCTCTGTCTGATGTGGGGGTAGTGAAGATCTTTTCCCATTCTGTAGGCTGTCGTTTTGTCTTATTGACCATGTCCTTTGCTTTACAGAAGCTTTCCAGTTTCAGGAGGTCCCATTTATTAATTGTTTCTTTCAGTGTCTGTGCTGCTGGGGTTATATTTAGGATGTGGTCTCCAGTGCCAGTGTATTCAAATGTACTTCCCACGTTCTCTTTTATAAGGTTCAGTGTGGCTGGCTTTATGTTGAGTTCTTTGATCCATTTGGACTTGAGTTTTGTGCATGGTGATAGATATGGGTCTATCTTCCTTTTTCTACATGTTGATATCCAGTTATGCCAGTACCACTTGTTAAATATGCTTTCTTTTTTTCATTTCATATTTTTTGCTTCTTTATCAAGGATTAGGTGCTCGAAGATATGTGGATTGATATCCGGGTCTTCTATTTGGTCTAGGAGGTCTCTTTTAATCCTCATGTGATTGCTTTTTTTCTCTTCTTTTTTGGGGGTTTTGTTTTTGTTTGTTTTTTGAAACAGGATTTTTTGTGTAACTACTCTGGCTGTTCTGGAACTCACTCTATAAACCAGAGATCCACCACCTGTCTCTGCCTCCCAGAGTGCTGGGATTAAAGACGTGTGCTACCACCTCCTGGCACCTGTCAGGTCAATCTAATCAGGTTGACAATCAGAATTAACCATCAGTCAGAAATTTAGTAGACCAACATGTTGGCAGGGAAGGAATAGGCTTTTGGGATTCTACATTTAAATACCTAGAAGAATAGCTTCTGAGCTCTGTCTTTCATGGTTGCTAGCATGTGGTGATAGAATGAGAAGGATGATGCATAGTAAGGAAGTCATTGCAGTAAAGTTACTTTGTAGAGGAGTATAAGTTATTTACAAAAGCATGGGTGGTCACACTAACATGATTCGTCCTCAATTTGAGCTTTTCGCCCCTGAATCAGAACAGAAATGTTAGATAGCATCTGTGAAAAATCCTTAGAAAATTGTACATGCTTCTAGAACTGTTACATGAGGTGATTTCCCAAAGGGGAAGGGGCCTGGTTATTTTTGTTTAAGATGAAATTCTGAAAGTATCTTGGGGTTATGTATGGTGGCTCATGCCCAAGCGAAGAATATTACAAGTTCAAGGCCAGCTGCAGATACAGAACAAGAGCCTGTGTTAAGAAAAATAAAACATTTTAGGAGAGATGGGGGTATATGTGACTTTGAATATCAGGAGTAAGAGTTTAAATTTATCCAGGCTCGGGAGATGTCTCTGGTAAAGAGTAGCTACTCTTTAAAGGACCCAATATAAGTTTCTGGCACCCACATGGCAGCTCAAAACAGTCTTAACTCCAGTTCCAGGACATACGATGCCTTCTTCTGGCTTATATGGACACCAGGCATATGTGTAGTGCACAGACATACATACATGGAGGCCAAATATCCATACACATAAAATTTTTTAAATTTGAATTGATATAGTAAACTCTAGCAGTTCATTATCAAATTAGGAGACCTAACACAATGATTTTTTCATGGTAGTTTATCTGACTATAGGATTAGATTTGAGAATTTCTCTAAAGCCGCAGGATCACAATTGATGTATTCTAAGGCTGAAGTGGTTAAAACTCCCATGTGGGATGGTACTAACAGTGTTGAGCAAAAGGACATTACGAGAGGAACATGGTCAGACAGAATTGACCTCCTGAGAAATGAGCTATGGAAGATGAGCATGGGAGCTGGAAATTGATTTCTAACTGAACTGTTTAATTCCGTGTTTAGAGCTTATTTTATGCTAGCATGACATTAGCAGGAAGAGGAGGAGTAGAAAAAAATCATTTCTGGAATATTAAGTTAGTATAATGTATAGTTTAGAACTTACCAGTATATATTCATAAAAAGATTTAAGTTTGGGGGCTGAAGAGAATGCTCTTTCAGAGGAATCATGTTCAGTTCCCAGCACACACATAGAGCAGCTCACAGCCTCACAGTCACCCCTAACTCCAGCTCCAGGGAATCGAGGCCTTCTTCTGGCCTGCTTAGGTGCCTGCACATCTGTGATTTGTCTCACACAGACTTCTAAACACAGATACACATAAATAAAAAATAAGTCTTTAAAAAATATTGTTGGTATTTTACAGTAATGATATACTGTGTGTTCAGATAGCAGTCTTGTATCTACATTACAGGTTTTGCAAATAGGTCCTGCCAGCTCAACTTGAAAGGTACCAGTCCTTGGGGGTTTCATTTTGTTTTTGTTTTTTTTTTTTTTTACCCAGATAGTGTTGTAGAGTGAAACATATATATGCACATCCATTTTAAGCCATCTACTTAACTGTTAATTAGCTTCTCTGTCATTTTTGAAAGTTGCCATCCTGACTCAGTTGTTTTGCATTAAAATGAACAAAGTATCTCTTCTCAAAGAATAAAAGTAGTTTTGTTTTGTTTTTCAGTAGTTCACTAAGATGAAAGCTATGATTGTTTGCTAAGTAAAATAAGTGCATAATCAGACAGTTTGTAATTAGACTAACATCCAAGTTATAATTATTGAATGTGTAGGTGTAGTTAGCAGCCTTCATTTCTGGTAAGAGTCTTTACTTAGCGGATATATGTTTATGTGCTCAAGACAGACAGTTTCCTGAAAGGAAACTGTGGTCTCTGGTTCTTTATAAAAACATGGTCTTTAATCTTTTTCAACTAGAACATTGCCTTGTGTAGACTGCACTTTCTTGGCAGAAGCAAATGAAGCTTCCTTATGAGCCTATTAAGACTTCATAGACTGTCAGTAAGATGGAAAAATTGGTTATTTAATCAGGAATGTGAACATGTATTTCAGGTAGAAAATTCCAAAGATAATGAAGACAGTATTTTACAAAGAGAAATTCCTGCCAGGCAGTCTCGACGAAGGTTTCGGAAAATTAACTGTAAAGGAGAGCGCCAAACCATAACTGATGGAGTGGATGTTAATAACTACCTTTCGGTGAGTATATTTCAGACTAATTCATGGATCCTTGATTTTCATTAAAATATCTTTTAGATGGTTCTTGATCTCCATGTGTGACAGTTAAGGATAAGATAAACATAACAATTTTTTAAAACAATTCTGTTTGACTGTTGGATTTATTAGAAATCTTATCTGGGTAATTTTGCTTTAGGTTTGTTTTACTTTAAATAATTAACCAAAATAAGTTTTTGCCATAGCTTCTTAGATACGCATGTGAATTTTCTTGCCTTTATAGTATCTGAGTAGGATGCATATAGAGTCTGAGAACTCAGGCAGTAGATTAGTGGGGAAACTTTTCCTAATGTTACAAAGATATACACAAGAAAATGGTGGCAGTTCTTCCCTTGGCCTACGGGGCTTTTAGTCACACATAAACCAGGCGCTAGTGTAGCACATGTGTTAAAGTTGCTTCTTCACATACACATACTTGAAAAGAAGCAGATGAAGCATTGAGCTTTGTAAAAACCAGAGAAAGGAAGCTGCTACTTTAGAAGTCTTTTGACTATTGTTGCAGATAACATCTTTTTAGACTGAGAGTTGGTTAAATTGAGAAATAATAATTTGAGGAAGAATAGATTCATGTACATTTTCAAGGGACAGCTCCATAATTATATGTTCCAAGGAGTCAGCATCACAGAATTTCAGAACTGTCTCACAGACAACAACTGTCTCACTTTGGTCTGTGTTTAAATGACAGTATTAGACTGCTGGGATAGTTGGTTGCAAAAAATTGAACAAGGGTCTGTTCTTTTGGTTGTCAGGACAGAAATGCTCTCGTTCTGTGGCAGGATAGAGGAAGATAGTCAGGGAAGTGGTTTCCTAGAACAAGAATGGATTTAAATCAGTTTTGAAGATTCTGTCACATTTGCCTAGTTTAATTAATCTGAGTATTAATTAATACTCAGATTAATTAATACTGTTGCTGAAAATAAACAATACTGGTCCCAGAATTTACAACCAATACCTTAGCATATTTTGTCTTTAACCATTCATTAGTGGGCACCCTCATAATGCCCCACAGTAAGCATGATTCATGCAGTGATTTCTTGTATCCCAAGGAATGGACTCCTCTCTTATACAGATTTTCTCATTCTCTTTTGCTTTAGACCGAATGTTGCTATGTAATCAGGGCTGGCTTTGAGTTGTGATACACCAAGTACTGAGATAACAGGGCACGAGCACCCAGTTGTTCTCAGCTCTTTGAGGCTTCCATACTCTCTTCCGTAATGATTCTTCTAATTACAGCTCACCTATAGAGGGTGCGAATGTCTTTTCCCTGGCAGCATTTTGTGTTTTGGGGTTTGTCTGTCCTTTTAACAGTTATTTCCTAGATGGCTATGATGATATCTCCTCATAATTTTGATTTGTTGAGCAATTATAATAGACATCTTAAGATTACATTTATTGATCATTGTATTTCTACCTTTTAAAAGGTGTTCTGATCGTTACCCATTTTTTTTCATGCCACCTCCATCTAACCATTTGCCCATTTTTTTCAATGGAATTACATGGGGCTTTTGTTACTGTTTGAGTTTCTTATTTATTATAGATATTAATCTTATGTCAAAAGAACAGTTGTAATTTTTCATATTCTTTTCACTTGATTGTTTTCATTATCATCTAGAAACTTTTAGTTGTTTGTTATTACTGTTCCTATTGGTGTTTTCTTGTTTGGCTTTTATTCAAACTTTGTCTATAGTCAACATTGAAATGTATCCTCTGAAATTTTTCTAGTAGTTTTGGAGATTCATATCTTTGGTCTCTTGTGCATGATTAGAGATACACATACCCATTTTCCTGGCAATCTTTATTAAAAGGCTCTCCTTTCTCCAGTGGTTTTAGTATCTTGTTGAGCATCTGTTGACTCTAGATGTATGATTTTTTTTCAGAATGTCATCGTCTCTTCTGTTGATCTTTGTATCTGTTCTTATGCTAGTATCAACATTTTCAGTTTACTGTTGTTTAGTGCTGTGTTTTGAAGTCAGGAACTGTGATACCTACAGTTTTCTTCTCGTTTTCTATATTATTTTTTGGTATTTGAGGTTGTCTTTGCTTCCAAAGAATTTTTTTCTCATTGTTGAGAGTGATCAATCCTGGTTTGATAGGGATTGCATCAAACTTGCAAGTTGCTTTGGGTGGTATGGGTATTAACAATACTAGTATATATATGTTCAACACACAAATACATGTTCCCATGGAAGCGGAAAAGTGATGTTGGATGCCCTCGAGCTGGGATGAGTCCTGGGAACTGCACTCTGGTGCTGTACAACAACAGTACACACTCCCAGCTAGTGAGCCACTCCTCTAGCCCCCCAACATTAGCAGTATTAATTCTCAGTATATGAACATAGGAAAAAAATTCATTTTAGAAGTCTGTGACTTCCCTTGTTAAATTCATTAGTAGGTTTGCTTTTGTAATTTTTTTAAGTGGATGGGGTTGAAACATTCTGTTTGCTCTTATGAATTGTACTGCTTTTGTAATATCTTTTTTCAGCAACTTCATGTGTGTGTGTGTGTGTGTGTGTGTGTGTGTGTGTGTGTGTGTACAGTACTGAGTCCTGATGTAGTATAGTAGCAAACACCTTTAATTCTTTTACTCAAAAGGAAGGGGAAGATAGATTTCTGTGGGTTCAAGGCCAACTTTGTCTATCTAGCAAGTTTCTGGCCTGCCAGCACTATTCTGTGAGACCTTGTACTAATTTTTCTAAAACTACCCATTTTTACATGAGTGTGTAGGTGCTCATGCACAGGGAGGCCAAAGAACCACCTCAGGTGTCATTCTTTTGGCACCATCCACCTTGTATTTAGTTGGTTTTCTTTCTTTTTTTTTCTTTTTTCATGAAAGAAGCTCTTACTGACTGGCCAGGGCCTATTGCTGCCTCCCACCACTACATTATAAGCATCCACACTATTTCTGGCATTTTTGGGTTTTTTTTTTTTTTTTAACATTAATGCTAGGGGCTAAACTCAGGCTCTGATGCTTACAAGGCAAGCACTTTACCAAGCTAACTCTCCAGCACCTGCATGATGTCTTATTTAAATTGTGAAAATTTTACCCAATTTATTTTTCAGTTCTCTTAATTTGCTGGAGTTTTTAGGGTTTTCTTTGTAGAGAATCAGATCATCTGTTATCCCTTTCTCTCTTCCCTATTTGTAATACTTTTATTACTACCTTTTAGTTTTCTTGACTAAAACTTCCATCAACTCTATAATAAATAAGCGGTAAAAGTGGGCATGGTCAGACATGGAGGACGCACTTTCAGCGTCCCCCTTTCAGCGTCCTGTTGGTGTGGGTCTATCCTGAAGCCTTTATTGTGTTGGTGTGTGAGCCTTCTCCATAACTGACCAGGCTTTTATCAAGAAGCAGTGTTGGGTTTTACCAAATTTACCAGGAGGACTAGAGGATGTTTATACTTTGTTCTACTGTAATATATTTTGTTTGCTTTCTTAGTTGCGTGTGTATGCACATATGTGTATACATGTGGAGGCCAGAAAACAAACTCTGATGCTGTTCCTCAGACCCTCTTAACTATCTTTTTTGAAGATAGGATCTCTTATTGGTTTGAAACTCACCAAGTAGGCAAGGCTGGCTTGGCTGGTCAGTAAACCTCAGCGATTATTCTGTCTCCACCTTCCCAGTGCTGGGATTGTGTGTTTGCTACTGTGAGTCTCACTATGTTTACCCCAGCCTGATTTCAGACTCACAGAGATCACAGTACTGGGATTAAAGGTGTGCACCACCAAACTTGGTTTGCTAATTCCCTCCCTTACTCCCTTTTATTAATAAATTTTTCATATTGAATTCAAGTTCTCCCCACTAAGCTACATCCTTGGCTTCTTTTTACTTAGTTTTTGAGGCAGTTTCACTATTCTGCTCTCCTCCCCTTTAGAAAAGTTTTGTCGATTTTGTATTTGAAGGAGAAAAGCAAACAAATGAACAAATATGACTTTGTTTGAATTTAATTCCCTAGATGTCCCTTATAAACCATGGGCAGCGATAAACTTCTGTTAATCTTAGTGCTCCTATAGTAAAATGGGAGGTAGAGCCTGGAAAATTCCCAGAAACTCACTAATTATCTAGCTTGGAGTACATAGTTGCAGTCATCTCCCTCCACACTTGATTGTATTATTATCTCCACTCTTTGCTGTTTCTTTTTGTTTTATTTATTTTGGTTTTGGTTTAGGTTTTCTTATATAAGTCATTGAGGTGCATCATTACATTATTTGATATTCTATTCTTTGCTGTAGGTATTTATTGATAAAAAATTTTAGTACTGCTTTTGTTATATTCTGTAAGTTTTGTTAAATTGTTTTCACTTGTTTTAAGGGGTTTTATTTTTTTTTTCCCCTTCAAATGCTCTAGTGCTGGCTCCATCTCTATTGTTTGATTCTATACAGTTGTATCAATTTCTAATTCTTAGTCTGTTTTCAGGTACAAGTGTCTCTGTATCTGCCTGCTTTTGGTTCTTCTTAACACGGGCTGCCTTGTCTAGCCTGTCACCTCATTCTGTGTGTGTCATTTCTGAAGGTCCCATACTGTTGGCTCGCTCGCTCGCTCGCTTTCTCTCTCTCTCTCTCTCTCTCTCCACACATACATACATACATATATATATATATGTCACCAATTGTATCTTTTAATTGAATTTATTTATACACAAGATTACTATTGACAAAGGCATATTCCTATCATTTATTAATTTTCTTCTCATTGTTTATTTGGGGCTGAGGATCTTGGACCCAGGCCAAACATATGCTAAGTGTGGTGTCTGATACTGAACATGCTCAGTCCTTCATCATTTTGATTATTCATTTCCTGTTGTTGATCTATATAGTTTACTGTATTTTACGGTTACATTGCTTTCTCATTCTTACACTTTACATTTCACTGATGGTGGTGATCTGTCTTGCACTCCTTGAGGGTGTCCCTGAGTATTTTTTATGAGGCTAGTCTTATGATGACTTCTTTTGCCTTAATT